CTGTGTACCGCCTAGACTACCTTGCGAGTCTTGTCTCTGACCCTGTCCCTGCCTGTCCTCCGTCCGTCGGGGGTGAGACTGCTCTTGGCTGCACTGCCCTTGGCTGTGACGTTCTCGAGGACAGACAGGAGGAGTTGGAGTGCCTTGCTGCCGCTTCACCCCATCACGCGACCATGCTGCTTGCCCCTGAAGGAGACCCGGATGCACTTGACATCCCCACCCCGCGCTCCTACAGGGAGGCGATTTCGGGTGAGTACTCCTCTCAGTGGCAGACAGCCATGGACGCAGAGATGGCTTCCTGGAAGTCCACAGGCACCTACGTCGACGAGGTTCCCCCACCTGGGGCGAACATCGTCAGTGGCATGTGGATTTTCAGGGTGAAGCGGCCGCCGGGTTCTCCGCCTGCCTTCAAGGCACGTTACGTTGCTCGAGGCTTCAGTCAGCGTGAGGGGGTCGACTTCTTTCAGACCTTCTCCCCCACCCCGAAGATGACCACTCTTCGGGTGTTGCTACACGTTGCAGCTCAGCGTGACTACGAGCTGCACTCCCTCGACTTCTCGACAGCTTTCTTGCAGGGTAGCCTTCACGAGGCCATCTGGTTGCGCCGTCCACAGGGCTTCACTGGGTCGTTTCCTGCGGGTACCCAGTGGAGCCTACGGCGACCAGTGTACGGCCTGCGTCAGGCGCCCCGTGAGTGGCACGACACAGTGAGGACGACACTTGCAGCTCTTGGGTTTGCTCCTTCGACTGCTGACCCGTCGCTGTTTCTACGCACCGACACTACTCTACCGCCGTTCTACATCCCCGTGTACGTCGACGACTTGGTTTTTGCTACTGCTGACACTGAGGCACTGACCCTAGTGAAGGTGGAGCTGCAGGAGAGACACACCTGCACTGACCTGGGTGAGCTGTGGAGCTATCTTGGCTTGCAGATCACCCGGGACAGAGCACGGCGCACCATCACCCTGACTCAGTCACACATGGTGCACCAGGTCCTTCAGCGCTTCCGCTTCACGTACTCCTCGCCACAGCCCACTCCTCTGGCTACCGGCCACTCGCTCTCAGCTCCACCTTCGGACGAGTCCGTAGAGCCGAGTGGTCCGTACCCAGAGCTTGTGGGCTGCCTCATGTACCTGATGACGTGCACACGACCTGACCTCGCGTATCCTCTCAGCCTTCTGGCTCGCTACGTGGCACCCGGCAGGCACCGAAAGGTGCACTTTGATGCTGCGAAGAGGGTACTGCGTTACTTGTGCAGCACATCGGGCATGGGGCTCGTGCTTGGAGGACGGGGTCCCGTGGTCCTCACAGGACACTCTGACGCTTCTTGGGCTGACGACCAGGCGACTCAGCGTTCGTCACAGGGCTACACCTTCAGTCTTGGCGCTGGTTCTGTCTCGTGGAGGTCCACTCGTTCTTCTTCTGTGCTTGGTTCCAGCTGTGAGGCCGAGATCTACGCTGGGGCCATGGCTGCACAGGAGCTCCGTTGGCTGACCTACCTGCTGACCGACTTGGGGGAGCGGCCTCGTTCTCCTCCAGTTCTGTACGTCGACAACAAGGCAATGCTTGCCTTGTGTCGCGAACAGAGACTGGAGCACAGAACGAAGCACATTGCTCTGCGCTACTTCCTTGCGCGTGAGCTGCAGCAGCGTGGTCAGCTGCGCCTTGCTTTCGTGGCCTCTCGGGCCAACACTGCTGATGTCTTCACCAAGGCCCTTGCGGCTGGTGATCATCAGCGTTTCTGCACTGCTCTTGGGCTTGTGCCCACTCTGCCTCACCTGCTGGTTGCTTGACTTGCTCTTGTTGTACACTGCTATATATCTTTATACCTGCATGTTTCCTCTTGCTAGGTTGTGATCTGTGTACTGCCTTGCTCTTATAAATCTGCATGTGAACTGGCCTTGTGGCTGCCTGCTTGTGCTCAGATTGTGTGGTGTCCTTGAGATCCACCCTGGGCTTTGCCTTGCTTGTTCTCTTGCTTGACTGGTCTTGTGACCACTGTTAGGCTTGGCTATCCCCTACTTCACCTATGGGGGTGTGTCAAAACATATTGTTCTGCTTATTTCACTCTAGGTTGTGTAGGGTTCTTTCCTTAGAGGGTACAACAATCTCTCTCGATAGTCCTTGTACCCCCCCCTTACCTAATCGAACTCACTCATCTAGCTAGTAACTCTAACAAAAAGCATATCACAAAATACAACACATCACCAGAAAGAAAGTAGCTGACCAAGTTACACCTGAAAGCCAGAGAATCACGTAAAAACGAGGAATAGCACGTCATGTCAAGAGCTCGCCAAAGAAAGCAAAAAACGTCACGTTAGCTGGAAAAGGCTTACCTACCAGACGACGTGTTTTGACAAATTAGGAGGCTCGCCACGGAGAGTAGCCAGAAACACACACTGTGATGTTAGGAGAATTGCAATAATGGCTACGTAAAACATGTCAAGTGACGCCAAGAAGCAGAATAGAACGAATGGTGCAACGCCCATCAAATAACACATTTTCAGGTAAATCTGCCATCCATAGCGTGCCACACAAAGCCCAAGGAAATCACTGGCGACAAGCTTACCTCATAGAGCTCCAAGTATGAGCGACTAGCACGACGGTAAGCGATGCCTGCCAAGAAACACACACGGTTCGAAGAAGCAATTAGCATCTGTAAAATGTTATAAGAACTCATCATTCACGCCTCCAATCGCGGGCTTTAAAACGATGCTCTTTAGGACATGGAAGGAAAATGATATAAGATAGTTATCGTTTCCCATAGCCTCCCGCAATGACTAGGGAATCGAAGCTTAGGAAAAAGACGGATATGGCGGCGTGAATGGCGGACATGGCGACGTGAATGGCGGACATGGCGGCGTGAATGGCGGACATGGCGGAGTGGAACGAGCTCAGTGATTTAGCAATGACGGGTGAAAAATGACGGGTTCGTAAGTAGGAGGGGGATAAGTAGTCTGAAGGTGCTGGGGAGAGGAGAGGCAGAAGAAGGTGCTGTCGAAGAGTTGTAATTGGTTCGTGAACTTTCATGTGCCACGTAACCCAACCCATCACTGTATCCCAACATATTGAGCAATGCGATAACAAAGTCAGAATCAGATCGAAAAAAACCACTATATGTCATACAAACATGTTGAGAGAAGAAGTGTACAGTGTGTACGTACCTTACTAAGCTGTGTGGAAATCCCCTACGTCGCAGCCTCGGAATAAGCAGAGTAGCGACAAAGTCAACATCCATCGATTTTCCTGCCAAAGTTGGGGTAACCATGGGGTACCCCAAAGAACTGTAAACCCTCCCGATTGGTCTGAACTTAGTTACGATGGTGGAAGTTACTGTTGCTGGTTGTCGCTGACGTCGCCAGTGTTTAGAGGTAACCTGTAGGGAACCCAGTGGGAAATTGTGGGTTACCTCGTGAGGGTGACCTTGGGGTCCCCCTCGTTTTCAAAGTGATTATTGCGCTGGGAATTTTGGGATGACTCCGTGTACAACCACTTTCTTTCTGTATTTCCTACTGTCACCCTTTCCTTCCCTCCTCTTCCCCTTCCTTGCGCCCCCTTAATCCCAGTTCCATATGTTTCCCCTTGTGTACAACGAAACATGATAACCTGGAAAAACTAACAGAGCACTTGTATCACAGTCTCTATTTCGTTGAGTTTGAATTGAAGACCTAAAGTAAACCCATGCATAATGTAACACCACTTTTTTGGTGGAATCTAGTATGTACAAGCCTGCACGCACGAACACCTATCAGGCACTATCAGGCACTATTGCTGCGCAGCGTTGTTCCCTTGTGCAGGAAGCACGAATTCAAGCCACTTGTTTACTCTGCCAATCACACCATGGCGCTATCTTTGTCCCGTAGGGTGCGTTCAAGTAATTATGCAGGGCATGTGTGACTATGCCCCAAGTTTGGCTGGATCGGACTGTAACGTAAACATAGGGCCGAGGGCCATATCTGTACCATAACATTCCAATGGCACCATGCTGTACATGTTAGAGTAGGTAGCTAGGAATGATGAAACTATCGAGAGAGTTTTGGTACAAGGGAAAGCCCTAAGGGGTTGTACCCTACATTGGCTACCCCACTACAGCCTACATAATCTAGCATAACATATATAGTTAGACACACCCCCATAGGCAAAGTGGGGGAGAACAAGGGTTCAAAAGACTAGTCAGGAAAAGCAATGCAAGCTCAGAGTGGATCACAATGTCACCACACACTCCGAGCACAAGCAAAGGGGCCACAAGGCCAGTTCACATGCAGAGGTATATATGCAACAACAACAGTACATTGATCAGTATCTAGCAAGAGTAAACATGCAGGTGTGTATGTACATATATATGTATATATATATATCACAGTGTCAGAATCGTGAAGGAACGAATGATTGAATTAGCAAGCAGGTGGGTACAAGTAGGAAAACCTAAAAGTGTTGTACCCTATATGAACTACCCCACTACAGCCTACACAGACTATAGCAATCGAGTGGGCAAAAACCTAGCTTGCAACAAAATGACAACTCAGCCATGGCCATGGCCGGTAGCTTCAACAAGCTCAATGTGTATCAATTTCTTGGCAGATTCGACATTGGGTCTACTCAATCGATGCGCGGCCTTCAACTCTACACAATGGTGTCTTTTTAGTGTTCATTACGGGAACCTAAAGTACACTTATGCTAGTTCCAGGCTACTGTTATCGGTACACTCTACGTCTAACCAAGGGAATACATATGGCAGCTATACAAGCCCAAGGTGTCAAAGATTCAACCAACGATTTCTACCTCCTTCGTTTCAAAGGCCTCGCGTCATTCTCAAGGAAACCCACAACCAAGGTTGCTCGTCAGCATCAACGGAGACTCTGGTTCAGCCAAGCCTGGACCTGCAAAGTTTCGTCTACAAGCATCAGCGGCATAAAGCTCAGAGCTTCTCGGCAGTTGTGCTCAGATCAGCTTTTTTATCAGCCTATGTTGGGCTGTCAAGCGTTTTTCATCACAGCACTATGGTGAAGGGACGTAACAACAAGAGCAACAAGAAGGCGGCTGGCAATGTTTCGGACAAGGAAGCGGCTGACGTACCTGATGTACCTGTGAAGGACACAGCTGATGGGGGAAAACCACTCGCCGGATCCTCCTCCGCTCCAGTGATGGGCCCTTTCGAAGCTCTGTCGGACCTGCAGAACAAGCCTGACAACGACACGGGCTCAGGGGAGAAGGTTACTGATGAGGAAGGTGACGGATCGGACAACTCTCACGATTCTGTGGCAGCAGGCGGAACACGTGGCGAGGCTGCTGCTGATGAGAAGGCGCAGGATGATGAGGATGCTCCGTCAACGGCATCTCCTGATGAGGAAGATGACGGCTACCTAAGCGACGACTCCGATGAACATCTGGAACCGGATTCGCTTAACAGTGTTATTGCTTTGAAGAGATTTTCACTAACCTTACTGGTGCCGTTCTTCAGGAAAGCTGAGGTTACGCGTGCTGCTGTTACCGTAGCGGCGATGCTGGATGAGTGGAGGGAGCACCTGACGCAGGATGTGCTACAGACAACGACCTACCAAGATCTGACGGCGATGTACTTCTCTGGAGAGCGTTATGGTCGTCTGCAAGTCACATTCAACCAAGTCCGGGATGCGAACTACGTCTGGAACCAAGTTATCCGCCATGAATGCGCGAACGGGGACTTTATCGACCTCACCTGGCAACATCCGGAAGATGCGCGCTTCTTGAGGGAGCGCGTGCTGAATCCCACGGCTAAGGAAGTAATGGTCAAAGGCGTACCTGCGGATTTAACGGCTGAACTAATCCGTCGGCTCCTGGTGGTATCGAAGCTGGTTAAGAGAGGCAAGGGTGCTTTTGTCAGCGGTTTCGGCTTCCATCGGACAGTTGATCCGGTGACTGGGCTGGACACTGACCGCATACGTGGCCTTATCATACCTCATGCTGACGATGAGTACCGTTGGAGGTACTTTGTGGAGGATCCGACCACGGCGAAACGCTACCTGCTTCACTTCCCGTCGCTGACCTGCGATTTCTGCGGAGGCCAGCACATGTCTCGCTACCATGATCGCTATGTCTCTCCGAGACAGGAGAACTTCAACAACTGGAACCTGACAGTTAAACAGGTTCATGAGAGGAATGGTATAAGCTGTGCAACTTCTTACCAGTTGGCGCTACATGCCTTGTCGCTCGCTCTTCATCCCTTGTCTCGTACTGATGGGTGTCTGCTCCTCCCCCCTCGCAGCTGCATCCCTGAAAGCTTCAGATCTCCTGAAGCGTATCATGAGGGACCCGGCTGTTACCCTCACCTCCACTGGCGGAGCGCGGGAGGAATGGGTCTGTGTCTAGACTGCGTGCGAAAAGGCACAAGGGAACCGCTTCGAGCAGGCGTCTGCTCACATCACATCTGCCCGGCACAAAGGAGGGTTGAGGAAAGAGGGCTCAGCAACTCGCGTCAGTGTATTCTCCAAGAAGATGCTCGCTTTCAAGAAGGAGTATATTGCAAAACCGGCGAAGTAGCGGGTGTCAACATTGGAAGTGATGGCAGTTCGCATCAGCATGGAGGTGCTCGAGGTCGTAACTCGCAGGAGGTGCTGCACCATGTAACATGTCAGAAAGGGCTAGAGGCAACAGCAACATGGGAGAATAAGTGTGGGAGTTTGTTTCAGGAGCTTCAGGCTGTAATCGTAGGAGGAGCGGTGGTTAGCGTTTCACTTGCAGTAGCTGTAACCTGTGGTATACTCTTTGCAACACGTGTTCTTGATCGGTGGATGGTGCAGCTAGCAGAGCAGAGAACCGCAACAAGGAAGTCCGACCCGTGGATGCTGAGGGGTCTTGATCAGTGGTTTGATGGATAAAAAACATGAACTCAACATTGGCGCGCTCAACGTCAACGGACTGGGCAGCGCGGAGAAAAGAGAGTGCTTACAAGAGTGGTTAGACAAGTCAAGAGGAGTGATAATACTTACAGACACACGACTGCAGGAGGATCACAATTTCTGGACTCAACCAAGGGCGGAGGCTAAAGCGATAACATCAGTAGCTGATACGGCTGGAGGGGTGGCGGTACTGAGCTTCAACAAGGAAGTTGGCTTCAGTGATGTACGGACACACGAGTCAGGAAGGCTGTTGGCGGTGAATGTGAGCTGGAGAGAGTTGAAGTGGACGTTGGTAGCAGCTTACTTCCCTGCACAAGCAACAACACGGGGACCCTTTTTCAGAGATTGTCTGACGAGTTTCATGAATTCACTTCAGGGTGTGGGCCATCTGATGCTGGCAGGAGACCTAAACGTGGTGGCAGACCCTATCATGGACAAAACCTCAAAGGGAGGCTCAGAAGCGGAGAATACAAGACTGCTGAATATCTGTTCGGGCTGGGATTTGAAAGATACCTTCAGGATGCTCCACCCGACGAAGCTGGAATACACTTTCCTTGCGCGCTCAACGATGACGAGCTCGCGCATCGATCGAGCGCTGGTGTCGCTCTCGATGCTGCCTCTGGTGTCGGAAGCGTACCACATGGCAGCTCCGGTGGGAGTCACTGATCATTGGTTCGGGATCACCACGGTGCTGACAGCGGTGACGGGTGAGGAGTATGGCCCCGGGATATGGAGGATGCATGCTGCGCAAGCAAAGAGTCAGGCGGTGCGGAAGACAATACAAAAGGTGGTACAGAGTCAGACGGAGAGCGGAGGCAAGAGACTGCAGTCCACTCTCACCACGCTGCAAGCCAGTCTGAAAGCTCATGCCAGAGAGGAGAGGAAGAGGATTGGGAGAACGATTGCGCACCTGGAAGACAGAGTGGCAGCACTGAGGCAGGAGTTCATGGCAGACACTGGGCTAGGGGACAAGTACGAAGAGTTGGTGAAGTTTGAAGCACAGCTAAAGGCGTATAGGGACAGCCAAAGGAGGCGGAAACAAACGATGGCAGGAGTGGGAGAGGAGCTGGAAGGAGAGATCGCAACGAATTTCCTAACAAGCAGGATCGCGTCGAGGAAAGTGAAAACCACCATCAAGGAGATAGAGCATGAGGGAAAGGCTTTCGCTGGAGAGAGGGAAGTGCTGACGGCGGCGTCGGATTTCTTCTCCAAGCTGTTCCAGGAGAAGGGGCACGAAGCGGATACGGAAGAATGGCCGATGGACCCTAAGAAAAGGATGAGCGATGAAGGGGCGAGTCGGCTAGCCGCTCCATGGACGGAGGCAGAGGTGAAAAAGGCGATAAAAGAACTTCCGAGAGGCAAGGCGCCGGGAGCAGATGGGCTGCCGAAAGAACTACTGGAGGACAACTGGGATCTGTTGGGGGAGGTTGTGATGGACTTCATGCGGGAGTTTGAAACAACTGCAAAGCTGCCGGAGAGTTTTTCGACAGCCGTAACGATACTGCTACACAAGAAGGGGGAGAAAAAAGACTTGGGGAATTATCGGCCAATCACGCTTCTGGGTGCGGTCTATAAGATAGTTGCGAAGCTGCTGGCGAACAGAATGAAAAAAGAGCTGCCGCAAGTCATCTCGGAGAACCAATTCGGTTTCATCTCAGACAGGAGACTCGCGGACGCGGTCAAGGTGGTAGAAGACACGGTTGATGCTGCAGTGTTGGGGAAAGAAGACTGGTACTTACTGCTTGTCGACTTCCAGAAGGCCTACGATTCAGTGTCGCGGAAGTTTCTGTTCCGCACTTTGGAACGAATGGGTTTCCCAAAAGCCTTCGTTGACTGGTCCAAAGGGCTTCATGATCAGGCAACGACGCAGCTCTTAATCAATGGATGCCTGGGGGAAAAGGTTGATGTGGAGTCAGGCGTCCGTCAGGGGTGCCCGCTGGCGCCCTATCTCTTCATCTGCGCAGCAGAACCACTATGTCAAGAGGCGAAGAGGAGGAAGCTGGGACTGCGGAAAAGAGGAAAGGGTGACCTGACCTACCTGGGGTATGCTGATGATACGACGCTGATACTCCAGGGAAAGGAGCAACTGGGAAAGGCACAGAAGCTGCTGGAGGACTTCAGCATGCAGTCGGGGCTGAAGGTTAACCAGGGGAAGTCGACGGTGATGCCGCTAGGGAAAAACAGACTGCTCCCGGCACACACTGACACGATCTTCAGCTGGGCAGAGAGAGGCAAACCGGAGAGATTGCTAGGCATATGGATTACATCAGATGGAAACGCGGAACCGACATGGGACAAGGCTCTGGTACGAGTCAACACGATACTACGCAACTGGGAAAAATTACACCTGACCACAACGGCGAGGGTGACGGTCTTAAACGGGTACGTGATGCCGGTGATCCTCTTTCAAGCGCAGATTTACCAACCGCCGAAGCAAATCTGGAAGAAAATTCTGAAGCTATGCCATAACTTCATTTCAAAAGGTTGCGCCGATGAGGAGAAACACTTCATCCTCTGGAGTGAATTCTTGGCACACCTGGGAAGGAAGGAAGGAGGGCTGGGAGTGATCAATCCAACGGATAGAGTCAACAGTCAGGCGCTATGGAACCTGGGAGCGATGTTGCTGGAGGGGAACCCCATGAAGCAGTGGCTTATGGAGACGGCGGCGAACATGCCGCTGGGCTGGGCAACGTTGCTGGCGCATAAGGCCATTCTTGCAGAATGGAAGGGCAGCAGTGAACGGTGGAAGTCGCTGGTGCCGCTGATGTGGGAAAAGCATCTGCCGAAGCTACCTGAACCTGCAGACAGATGGGAAATGGAACAGGAACAGCTGTGGTTTAGCAACTGGATACACTACCGAGGGGAAAGTCCTTTCGGACGGCAGAAGGGTTCGGAATGCCTGAAAGGAATGAAGGTGGGAGACTTACTCCAGGAAGAGTACGGCGGGGGCTGGAGAGTTAAAGATTTATGGACGCTGACCAAACAGACGGGGAGGTCGTCGACGGCGAGATGGGCGTTAACGGCGTGGGAGGCGGTACCGGAGACCTGGAAGAAGAAATTGCTCGCGAAGGTGACAGCGACGGTAATTACGGAAACCACTACACTGGTCAGAGTGGGAAGAACGGCGGGCAGGAGTCAGAGCTATCTACAGGTGGCGCTGGGGGAAAACGAGGAGCTGAAGTGCGAGAGGGTGGAAGTAGACGACGAGGGGAAAATAAAACACCTGGGAATTGTCGCTCAGTCGCCATCGATGCTTGGCATACTGACCCCGATGGTGGCTAGGAGAGGGTATGTGCTGGGGCAGGCGGGAGACCCGCTGACACGGCTACGGGCCTCTTTCTTGTGTGAGGAGGGCAAGCCAACGGCACAGAGGAAGTTGAGACATCTGCTCAAGAAACCGGTGCAGCAGCCTAAGCAGCAGAAAAAGTGGGAAGAAAGTTGGGGTGGAAAGATTGACTGGAAGAAAGCCATCGCGAAGAGGGACTCACTCGCGGTCCCGGCCAAGGCAAGAGAGGTACTGTTGAGGTTGCACAGCCACAACCTACAAGTGGGCACCAGGCTGGCCTTCTTTGGCTCCCGTGCATGCTGCCCATACTGCAAACAAGAAGAGTCACCTGCGCACTGTTTGATGGGCTGCCCGGTGGTTAAAGGAATTTGTGGCGCGCTTCAAGACTCGCTTCGGCTGATCAACCCAAAGAGGGCTGTGGGAACACTGGGCGAGCTGCTATTTGCTGCAGACAGCACCGTCTCCGGTTTCCCGGAATCTACTCTCATCGCCATCACTTTCAGGCACATATGGTTGGAGAGGTGTGACGCGGTCTTCAGACAAAAAAGTTTTGAACCCAGACGCGTGGCCAGGAAGATTGGAGCGAACTTCAGAAGGCATGTGCGGATCTACAGTGAAGGGTGTGGGGGCAAAAGAGAACAACGAAGAAGGGATGCGGATGGTTTTTGGCCCAATCTGACAGCTGGAGAGGCGGCAGCACTGAGCCGCATTTGTGACCAAGATGAGAATCTGACGTGGAACAGGGACTTCACCTCGATTTGGGAGAGACCCAGTACCTTTTATAAGCCGCCGTAAAAGGGGTACAGGGAGAGCAGTGTAAACCTCATTAGGTAGACCTGCACTCTCCCCCCCTCTCAGGTACGACTGTGGATGTAATGCATTGTATAGTGTATTATGCCCCCCCCAAAAAAAAAAAAAAAAAAAAAAAAAAAGACTATAGCATATAAGTTTGACACACCCCCATAGGCAAAGTGGGGAGAACAAGAGGTCACAAGACCGGTCAAGAAAGGCAAAGCAAGCTCAGGGTGGATCACGACGTCACCACGCTGTCTGAGCACAAGCAAATGTCCACAAGGCCAGTTCACATGCAGAGTTATATAAAGGAGAACAAGCAATACAGTGATCACAACCTAGCAAGTGCAAGCATGCAGGTATATGTATAGAGATCACAGTACAAGCAGAGT